TAAAAAAGTATCATTTGAGAACTTAAATCTGCCTTAAAGGTAATGAACTGAAATTTATAACGAAGTGGCTATTCGTACCTGCGTACCAGAAGTGAGAGGTGGGGTTTAAAAAAACTATTTAAAATTGTATTGTTGGGTTTGTAAGACAAAATGAGGTATCAAATGAGAGATAATTGAATGGACTATAGGTTTGTAAACTTAATTCTTTAGCTTAACTAAAATAAACTACCATAAATGACATCCGAATAGCACTGAGTCAAAATGGACCATGACATGAAGCGCCGCCATTCGCACCCGGGTACCATAAGACTTAGACTCAAATCATTCAGATAAATCATTTGTGGTAGTTTGGAAGATGTTAACTTGTTCTTTGGGTACAACAGTTTCTTGTCAGAATCTGTCATGTTACAATGTTAAGTACAAAATAATGTTTTTTTTTATTATAGAATGAAGATTTCATGATTTCACAACGGTGACAATAACAGTAATAATAACAGACTACCAATCAAATCAATGTATTAATTTGTTTTATTTATGATGTGTGGTTTGTTTTATTTGTGATATGTGGTTTGTATTATTTATCATGTGTGGTTGGTGTATTTATGATGTGTGATTACTTTTACTTGTGATGAGTTGTTTTGTTTGTTGGTGATGTGTGGTTTCTTTTATTTATCATGTGTGGTTGGTGTATTTATGATGTACTGTGTAGTTGGTTTTACTTGTGATGTGTGGATTCTTTTATTTATCATGTGTGGTTGGTGTATTTATGATGTACTGTGTAGTTGGTTTTACTTGTGATGTGTGGATTCTTTTATTTATCATGTGTGGTTGGTGTATTTATGATGTACTGTGTAGTTGGTTTTACTTGTGATGTGTGGATTCTTTTATTTATCATGTGTGGTTGGTGTATTTATGATGTACTGTGTAGTTGGTTTTACTTGTGATGTGTGGATTCTTTTATTTATCATGTGTGGTTGGTGTATTTATGATGTACTGTGTAGTTGGTTTACTTGTGATGTGTGGATTCTTTTATTTATCATGTGTGACTGTTTTTTGTTGTGTGGTGTTTTTTTTTGTTTGTTCATTAACATGTGCGTAACCGTCTCTGGTACTAATGTGCAATGACGGCAAGTCGAGTCCCTGTTGCTGTCTACCCTGTGAAAGTTAGAATTTGTAGAGCAGTGTTCCGTTCTCATTTGGATTCCCAGACTTTGGTGTCGACGACACAGTTTTCAACGTGGATCTGTTTTACCAGGGATTATATTAGCGTGTACACCTCTGGCCTTCTATGTTACTGAAGAGCCAGAAAAGTGTATTAGCTGTCATTGCTAGTTGTTGCTACCATTAAAAAATAAATAAATCAGTTTTTATGCGTTTTGATTAGCATCAGTAAATAGTAAATGTTTTTTTGGTGAATATTGTTTGCGCATGACTTGTATTGGTTGTTTCCCCCTGGTTTCTAGAAAGCTAATTAAAGAAATAAAACTTAAATAACTTATATTCAGTTTGAAATCCCCCTCCTCGTATCAATTAAATTGTAATGAAATTTTAAAATAATTTAATAATTCATTTATTGTAGTTTTATTTCTTTTATTAACTTTCTATTAATTTAAAAAAATACAAGTAAGGCACACGCCATATTCACCACGAAAACATTTACTGCTGCCAATCAAAATCCATAACTTTTTTATTTTTTGTTTTTAAAAGCTGTAAGAACAAGCAGGTACAATTTTCTGGTTCTTCCCCACCACAAAGGTGCTTTCAAACGTTGTTAAGAACCACTGTTGTGAAGAAATGTTTCTTACACAGGTGCAGTAATTCGATATCTATGGGAGATTAATTTTTTAAGGGTTTGTAAAGGACATCAGTGGAAAGGGGGGAGCATTTTAAAAGGGAAAAGGTGGGGGAGAGGTAGAAATTTATGACGTTATATTTGAGGAGGGTCTAACTTTTTGAAACGAGGGGGGAGGGGGTCAAAATTTTGCATTATGGATGAATCCGAACAAGATTGGCGTTAAATATACTGCATACGGATCATCAAGAATATATTGAACGCATCGAAATTTCATAGGTCCCACTAATTGTAATTAATTTCGAGGCACAACAGGACACGTGCCAGACCATCATTTGCCTAAGCCAGGGATCTCAAACTCAAATCATCCGGGGGCCGCAGGAGGTAGAGTCTGAGTGAGACTGGGCAATTACAAAGTCAATAAAGTATAACTGTTATAATCTGCTGAACCTTTATTAATAACAAATAAAAACATTAAGGGTTCTCAAGAACTAGGCTTCACTTTCTTCCTCCTACTCCTTGTTGACAGAGGTCTAGTTGCACTTCTTCTTACACAGCTGAGCAACTTTGGTTTGAGTGAGGAAGCAATGGAGACCCTCAGTATAGCTTGAAGATGCTCATCAGTAAGTTTGGTCCTGAACTTTGACTTGTCTATACTATAGTGGAAAAGAGCTTTTTACACAGATAGGTACTCCCAAAAAAGGCACATGACCCGCTTGAACTTAGTTGAACAACCTGGAAATCTCAGGGAAGGTGGAGGGCAATGCTCTCATAAATTGTCCATGCTTGTCTGTTTTTCCTTTCACCTCCCTGAACTTAGAATTGCACTGAAGATCAATTAGCTCCATTTGAAGCGCAAATAATGGATGGCTGCATCTTTCACATTAAAGGAGAAAGGGTCAGCAAGAAGCTGAAAAGTGACTGTGTGTGTGTTTTAAAAAATGTGAAACTGTAGGAACTGCCTATTTGACTACCGGTAATGCTATTTTGAAAGTGACCAAACTGACAGGCTCAGAATTTCCCTCACTCGTAAACACTACCGGAAAATTTAATAAAGATTTTTTGATACTGTGTCAGGTTGCTACGATTTACACAATTATGGTTGTGCATTACCCACTAAGTGACTTTTTAAACTTTTCTCAAAACCGCACTTTGGCCATGTTTGTCTCAAAAAATGCTATAAAATAAAAACTCTGTTTTTTTACAACGGTTTTTGTCATTATAATCAATGTCCAAATCTATACAAACATAATAAAAATCAGAATTAGACTAGTTGGTGAGATTCGACTGAAACCGTTGCAGAGGGTCACATTAAAGATATGAGTATGAGAATGGGGAAAACATGCGGGCCGCATTAACACTAAACTTTGGAGTCATGTAGCGAGCCGCAAAATATCGTCTTCCGGGCCGCGAGTTTGAGACCCCTGGCCTAAGCCTAAGAAACTTTAGCTCTGCAATTGGTCACTTTGGGGTGAGATTTTTTTTCAAAGAAACACTGAGTGTTTCTGTAAAACCGTTCTACATCATTCCTGGGACGGAAAAGAAAACAGTGAAGGACCAAGGCTTCCCAGTTCAGTTCATGAATCCAACAGGTCAGCGTTAGCTGCTGTAGATACATTGAGACAATCCATCACTTCTTAAGATCCTGTGCTTTTCGGAAAATTAACTTATTGCAAAAGATTGACATCAATCTATACACGCAAGGGCAGAAACAGTCCTAAAACTCTCTGATACTTTTGGTAAACTATAGGGTAAAGGGGGGTAATTTGCTACATGGGGTATTAAGCCCTAATTGCTCAGTTCATACAATAAAATGCTTGATATTATTGTAAGAAGAGAGAAAGGCATTAAGCTTTAGTTGACAGAAACTTACTAACCAATCAGAGAAATTTTCACAACCACTCTTGGGTTTCCAACCTATGGGATTGATTTTTAATTTGCCTTTTTAGATTAGTGCTTTTCCCCTCTAGTTTTCAGCCTTCTTCAAACCCTTTGTAAAACTTCAGCTAAGAAGGTGCTTGTTTATTTTTACTTGAAATTCTATTTCTACAGTGGAAGTTTTTTAGTTTACATACAAAAACGAGTACAACTAAACTCAGCAAGTACTTTTTTTTAGTTTTTAACTATATGTGTATGTAATGCATGAGTTAAAATACTGATATTTGCAGAGCAAATGAAGCTGGTTCATTTTTGCAAAGTAAAATGGCAGTTGGATGAGTGATTTAGAGATTGTTTATAAAAAGCTCTAAAATTCCCTTAAATACTAAAGTTCCTTCTAATATTTTGAATAGGAAGCATTTGTAAAAGAGATACTGTTCTGTAGATTATTTATTTATTTGATAAGTTTATAAAAATGAATAGCACCCTCAACTGTTGAAAGATGATTAAAACAACCAAATAATATTGATCAGATTAATAAAATCCATGATTTAATTAAAATAGCATTAAACAGATTATGACAGATAAAGTTTAAATTGAAAACAAAAGTTATTAATTTGTAGAAATAGGTTAACAATTTTTTAAATATAGTTTTGATAATGAAATCCCAGAAAAATCTGATATTGAAGCCATGGAATGGAATGGATCTGTCAGAATAGCCTACAACCTATGCCTATGTGAAAATATATGCATTGCGCATTGAACATGCTGGAGCCAATTGCCCCCATTGTTTTAAATTTAAGTCATAATTAGTTTTGACTTTTTAAACCTTTTTCACTCTATGACTATGACTCTATGGCTTTAAATTTTGCTCATTAAAGCATTTGATTTGTACTTCAAGAAAGATGTGCGGTCTGTTATTTAAAAGCATTTTCAGTTTGAATTTAATAATATTCATTTATTTCAAAGAGAAAAACAAAAAGTTCTTGAAATCATGGTGCTTAATGCCATCCATTACCCTATAGCCTATAACTTATAATCTATAACTTGACTATGACTATAACTTATAACTAACTGAATCGAGAGGCAAATTTCACTCCACGTACTCAAATTTAAATAATTAATCTTCGTAGTGATAGAGCACTTTTAAGTAAGTATATCCACCTATTTGATCCATGATGAGCCGACGCTCAAGTGGTAGATTACCTATATATATGTATATATATGAAAAAAAAATCATCTCGGTAAATAGGGGAAAAAATTGTTCAGTGGTTTGTCCGATCAATAATTTCTCGCGATTATTTTCTTGGTTTTTTTTTAGCGAGAGATCCTCACGGAAGTAAACAGTGACGTAATGAAACTACGCATGCGCTGAACAAAGTAATGTATACATTTAACCTGTAGGCCTAAAACAGAAAACTAAACACTGGTTTACAAAATCTTTCAAAATGCCTTTATTTGCGAGTGTTACCCCTTTTGATACTGATGTCGGTAAGTACAAATGAAGATATATAATTGAAATTAATAAACACATCTTAATCTACTCCATGTGAAAGATCTGTTATCATTCTTGATGTTTCTACTTCTTTTCTATACTAGTTTAACGATTCACAAAAATAACACCAAGTCCAAGCCCAAATTTTTCTTCAGACTCTTGTGACTTATTAGTCATCATCCGTTTAAAAAAAAAATATAACAATGCTATTAATCGTAATCAACTATAAATTATGAATAGGCTTGGAATCCTAAAGCAATGATAGGCCTTAAATTAATCGAATTCCTAAATTAATATAGGCTGCGGCAATTGGTAGTAAACTAGCTACTTCTAGTTCTAGGGAGCTATTTGTAGTAATCTATTGAATTGGTGCTCCACAACGCCAGGCGGTTATTGGTAGACTGGTAGATTACTATAAAAAAACTACCAATTGGTGATAGATTGATATAGTGAGTAGTGCAGTATTGACTAAGTCTGATTATTGGTAGTCATTGTTCCTTTTTAATTATATAAAATGAGTAAAACAAAGTAGGGTTAAACCTGAAAAAAGGAACACAACAAAACAACGAACGTGTCAGCAGAAAGCCTTTGTCATCGAACAAAACAACAGAAAAAACGTTATAAAAAAAAAATAGCACTTCGCTTAGAATTAGTATCTGTGGGGCAGCAAAAGAAATGTGACAGAAAGTAAGTGAGTGAGAGATTAAATAAGGAAGAGTGAAAGAAAAGAAGAGAAGTAAGTCCACAGCGATAGGTCGGGACATGGAGGGGTGGAGCTAGGTTCAAGCTGTGAAAAGAGACATGACATTCATATGAATGAATTTGTTTGACTCATTTTATGTTGTGCTAACCTGATTGCAGTCTCTCCCCTTATTATCCTTTTTAATTAGATCACTGAGAAATAATGAGATCACTCTTACTCTAAGTTAAGCATGTATGTTGCAAAAAAAAACAAAAAAACATATACCCACAACAAAAATAACTTTAGTGTGTTAGTCTCATAAATTCACTCCAATTGGATTTTCAAGACATAATACACTTATTTTTCTTTCTTTGTATATATTTTATGTCTGTATCTGGGCTTATGTTTTCATCGGATTCTGTGCAGTTTAAAACATTAATTCTGCATAGCATTAAAACATAAATAGTCTAATAGTAAATAGTCATTCCTAGACGTTAAATTAATTTGTGTTATAGATGCACAAAATTCCCAATGAAATTGTTAAATTGTACATAAAAATATTGATGCTCAAGTCAATTGTGTAAATAATACTCAGTAGACCAATCTCCCAACAGAAAATCAATGGGGGGGGGGGGGGGGGGGGGGGGGGGGGGGGGTCGTCACGTGACCATGTCCCTAAACAAAGATTGGCCTAAGCTTATGTTATCATCTTTAAACCTAATCATGTTATTATACAGTTTCATCTAGCTATTATTAGGAACTAGCTTATCGAAAACACCAAAAGTTCAGTTAACATTAAATTAATAAATATGACAAAATCAACTTTCTAACTCTAGTAGTTTTTGAGCTTTTATTTAAAAAATATGGCTGTGGACTGCACCTCCACATTTTGAGGCCAAGTTCTGTTTTTTTTTTAATTGATGTTACATTATAACATAAAACTTTAAAATATTAAAGTTTCTTCTTTTTTAATAGCCTACATGTTAGGTTGATGTTAAAATTTTTGCATAAACAGCTGTTTTTGGAAGTCTTCCCTTGAAGCAGACTATCATTTCATCAATGGACACATTTTGATAGGGCATGAAAGAAACATTACATTTTTGTAACAGCTTGTTTATCTATGGCTCAATTTTGCATTTACCCTTTGGATCAGGGTGGCCACAGTGCAACATGGAAGAGCATAGAATTTAAAATAATTGTCTCTGCTAAATATCAGCGTTGGTGTGTTGAAAAATAGTTTTGGCGACTGGGGCGTTTATTCATTCCCATAGCCATAGCTAGAGATATAGTGATGAATTTGGTGATATGGTATTTTTTTAAACCTACAGGGCCTCCTCATTGGAGAGTTCTGTTGCAGTATTTTTTCATTATATCTCTTTATACATGATATGATAATATCAATAACTTCATCATCAAAACGTTTTGAAAAACAATCAAATGATGAACAATATTCAGATATTCTGGCTTTTTTGACACCAGGCTCATTATGTGGGGAAAAAATAAAATTGTTGTTAGTTGCTGACCGCCACTTCGAATACAATTATATTAGTACCGTCCCTCCCTTTAAGTGTCTACTTTTACTAAGAACTGATTCTGGCATACTTATTTATTGTTAGGGGGTCATTAGGGTTAAAAAGGAGTTTGACAACATCATGCCTACACCAAGTATATGCAGAGGCAAACCTGGAGGTGTGAAGGGGCAAACTCTCAGGATGGCTTTTTTTGGCTTTATATATATGCAATATAAATCCTAGTAATATTTTTGTAAACTAAGTTCAAATAAGCATAGTTCTTTTTTAAAATTAGTTATCATATATTTTAATTACAGTCTAATTTTATTAGTGGTCTGTTATTAGGCCTACATTATACTATATCTAGGCTTTATTAGCCAGTTATTGTGCCTTTAAAAATAAGGTAGTGCTTAATTATCAATTAAAATCCTGTATTAGTTTATCAAAACAATTAAAGTAAAGAAACTAAGTAAATTTAAGCCAACACTAGATCAAGAAACATTTAATATAAGCCATTGTCTGTTGTTAACAGATGTTTATCTAGGGTTTACTTGGTCTTGGAGACGTGTTATATTAGTACAGGTTTTAAAAATGGTTTGAGTTATCCTGACCAAAGTTTGAAAATTAGATATCCAGAGCCCCAGACATCAACCATTTTTATGTAAAGCTGCTATTGCCTTTCCTGTCGTCGGTATTTTTTAAAATGCCACTGTTAAATAATAGTTACTTAAAATGCGCGAGCAGAAGAGCTGGCTAATGAATGTGAAAATCTAGATGTCAGGAATGTAGAAGACTACTTAGGCATGAGATAGGGCTTTACAGTGAATGACCAAAGTATGTTTGGAGTTGGCAGTTTGAGAGAGTTAGCATTTGACAGACTTGAGGCTGGTTGATCAAAGATGGTGCAGTGCTGCAACCTTACTCCCTGGCAAGGATGGCATGGTCTATTGTTTTGAAAAATCAGGCTATTAGATTTCAGGGTAAAGTAAGGAGTAACTTTTAAGGATACTAATCATAATTTTATAGGTTTGCCTGACTTACAAGGAAAATACAGGAGTAATAATTTCTGAAAGGGGTTTGTTGCTTTCCAAATAAAATAGAGCGGTGGCTTTCCACCATTATGATAGACCAAAATTCACAGAAGTGTTGAGGGGTTGTGACATAAATAAAAGATGTATTTGTTTACATTCCGTCCAAAAATTAGTTGAACACAATATAACCCACATCTAAATATTTAATTATAATTACTTTAGAAACTCCTCCTCAAAGTCCAGCCTATGTATTTGTTTAATTAACCTTAAACATGGATCCACTGAAATTATAATTATTGATTCTAGTGTGGCGTCAAATGAAAGAGGTTGAGAACCGTTATGGTAGAAAAATGAGGCCTGGTGGGGGCTACAACTCTGTCCCTGAAAAAATAAAGGAATAATGATGTCATGAAAACTGTAACTACCTCCTTAAGATTTAAAATAAATTTCACATTAAAAATAATGCCATTCACAGAGAAAGCTACCAATGAGATGAGCACAACTGAAGATTGGGGTTTAATTCTTGATATTTGTGAAAAAGTTCAGCGGCAACCAAACGGGTAGACTATTTCATTCTTCTTATTTAATTTAAAAAAAAATAACAACCTGTTTGTTTATTTGTTGTTTATTGCTAAGAAGGTTTTGTTTGTTTGTGAAAGGATCTTAATACATATATATATATATTACAGTACTGAATTTATATCATCTGCTCTTCTGTTATATTCTTGTTCTTGTAGAGCAAAGTTAGCATAATTATAACTGAGCTATTTATAACTTGACATCCCTCCCTCCCCCCAAAATGAAATAATTGTAAAGGAGCCATTGAAAAAAAATTAAAAAAGATAAACATTCTGACTAGTTCTATATGGGTGCATTTTATTTACCAAAAATATTTCTTACATCATACTTGCTGCATTTACAGGGCCAGAGACTGTTTGAAGTCCATAGTGAAAAGACTGAATCATAAGATTCCCTTTGTTTCTATGCAGGCATTAACAGTAAGTGGAACAATTTGTATGACAAGTTTTTGTATTATATTCAGCTTCTTGTTTTTTTTCATTATTTTGGCATAAGTCAATGGGGAGCAGTGGAGTGCACTGTAGGTTAAACTGGCTGACAGGTTTGTTCTTGATTTGAAATAAAGCTCTTTGAACAGCAGGGTTGATTTTAACTTAAAATTTTTTTTATGGTAATGGTGAACCAGTTTGCTAAATTATTTTGCCTTTTTTTTTCAAGCTCTTAAATGCGTGTGTCAACAACTGTGGTCGACCATTCCATCTGGAAATTGCTTCTAGAGACTTTGTATCAGAATGTAGGACATTGATCTCTCAAAAGGTGAAGTGATTATATTGTTTTGGTGTTTCCCTTCATTTGTCATTTCTATGACAGGTTTTATAAATAATTAAGGGCAAATATTTCAAATTCATTTGCACTAGAGACTGACCGAGTTTCTGTTTTGGTGCAGAGATTTGCCATTTGATCATTTTCTGAACTTTCAGCCAAAACAGAAAATTTAACTTTAGATTTATTTTCGGTCGAAAGGCTTTTGGTCGTCTTCCAGACGTCAGACAGTCGCTTTGTATGTCGGCCAATCCAATATTCATTGTTGCATGACATCATGAGGTATGATATATGACTAGTCCTCTGCAAACACTGCTCACAGCTTCATGATAAGCTACTTGTCCAAATATTTAATATTTCCAAACATAAAATTTCATTTATAAAGGTAAATAGTTTGTGAAGAAAAAAAAAATATGGGAATTGTAATATTTTATATAGACTAATAAAAAAAAAAAATTTCAAAAATAAAATTTAGGAACCCTAGGTTAATTCATTTAACCCCCCCCCCCCCGTTTTAATAAGATACTTGTCCAAATATTTAATATTTCCAAAAATAAAATTTCATTTAAAAAGGTAAATATTTTGTGAAAAAAAAAAAAATATGGGAATTGTAATATTTTATATAGACTAATAAAAAAAAAAAATTTCAAAAATAAAATTTAGGAACCCTAGGTTAATTCATTTAACCCCCCCCCCCCGGTTTTTCAAAATGTTTTGTATAGTTTCTTTTTCCCCAGGCTCATCCCAAGGTAGCTCAGAAGTTGAAACTCATGATTAAAACCTGGGCTGACATGGCAGAATTTAGGGATGACCCTGCTCTCAAGTAAGTATACTAGAATCCTCTACACTTGATACAGTATGTTTTAGCTACTTAACATAATGTCCATTTTTGAAACTGCTGTTTTTCTGACTTTTATGATTTAAACAATGTCATTCTGTTTATGGTGGCCACATTAAATAGAACCCTAGAACAAAATGTTTTTAAAATTATTATTCATTGGTTTCATTTAGTTAATCTGTTCATGGATAATTTATGTGTTTACACCATTACTTATTTTTTTAGGATTTAAAAAAAAAATATTTTTGGCCCTTTAAATATGTGGTGTATTAATTTTTCAGAGCCATCATGTTGAATTATTTTATTTTAAGTGAGTAGGTACCACAAAATTTTATCTGAACTAAGTAATTCTGTTGAAAAATGAACAACTTCTCAATAACTGATTGTTTACTTATGGATTTTGTTGATCCTCTTTTTTAAGCCTTATTCCATCATTCTATGAAAGTTTACGGAAAGAAGGCGTTGACTTCAGTGAAACTGAGCCAGTAAGTGCTTTAACTACAGTGCAAAAAATCAAAACCTTTACAATTAAGGCATTGTTGACTTGCTTACACAAATTTCTCATTCTCTTTAAATCTTTCATTTTTAGGCATTGTTTATGCATATTATGGCCATCAGTTGGGATTCTGAAATGGAAGAAAATGTTTTCAAATTTTAAATGAATAATAAAGTCGACAAAGACCTAGTCGACAATACCAAGATTTTTTAAATTTAAGAAATGAGATTGAGAAGTTCCACCCAGACGCCGTAATGGGTATTAAGGTCAGCCATATTTTTATTAAGCAAAATATTGTTTCATAAATGACTTGATTATAAGGAAATCCTGTGTCAGTCAGTAAGTCCATTGTTGGGCTGGGGTTTTCTTCTTTAAAAACTTTGTTTTTGCTTTGAATTTGTTTTCTTTGTATGAGCAATTTTGCTGGTGCAAAGAAATCGATTTTAGGCAGTTAAAACATGCCCTCAGTTTTTTAAACATATATTTTGGGTGTCAAAGTAGATCAACAAAAACACACATAGATGACAATAATTAGATTTCATGCATATTCTAGCATGTATCTGGGTGTATCACGTCAATAATTCTATTGGGGATTATTTTTTTTCAGAAGAAAGCCGCAACAGATCCATCAACGGTGAGGAAAGAAGAAGATGACATAGCAAAAGGTGTGTTTTCTTGTAACTGTAACTTGTTTGCTTGTAACTTAAACTTGTGTGTCTGTACCGGTAACTGTAATTTGTTTGCCTGTGACTGTATCTTGTTCTCCTGTTACTATAACTTGTTTGCATGTAAACTGTAACTTGTTGGTCTGTAGCTCGTTGGCCTATACTTTGTATGCCTGTAGATGTAACTTTGGTGTATATGTAACTACCTCGTTTGCTTGTAATTCTAGTTCTTCTTACTTTAATCTAGAAGACTGCTGGATACGAAAAAACTTTGTAATTGGCAGGAAATTTCGCCCCTTAATATAAAGAAGAAAAAAATGCCACATGGGCAGATCGTTCTCTCCGCACCCCTTTCCTACACCACTGACTAGAGTTGAGGTACAATTAATTAATTATTTTTTTTACCTTCCAGCCATTGCTTTGTCATTACAAGAAGAGCAGCACAAATCCAATGTTAGGACAGGGTCTAGTGGTAGTGGTGGCAGTAGTAGCTCAGGTAGCCTCTATCCCACTTATGCTACACCTGTTCCTTCACAGACAGTATTAAAATCTGTACAGAAAGAAATTAGAAAGGTAACTTGTATTGTCTGACTTTCACTTTTTTCTATCCATTCACGATAATCAGTTCTTTTTTAGGATTCTGTTGATTTTTGTGAGCAATGTGCTACTAAGAAATGATATTCCATTTCAATATCACATTTCCTTTATATTGATATTACATACCACTCTAAATAAATGTTTTTTCCATGTGTGATTATACGCAAATCTCCATCTTATATTTATCTTTAATGATGTGCTTTCTGTCACAGCGGGTTACTCGATTAGATCTATGTCTGTTCATTTTTTCAGATTATTTACTTGGTGTTGTTTGATTTCTGTTGTTCTGTTTTCATTCAAGTACCAATGGATGTGCTAAACGTGCTAAGGATTATTATTTTGTGTGTATCTCGTAAAAGCCAGCATTACAATGTACTTTGGACATAAATATCTCAGCCATATATAAAAATGCACTTCCGCCATCTTGTAAACAACAACCCACCATTTTAACATGAAATGGTGAAATCAAAACAACCAGCCAAACATCAAGTTGTGGCATAAGGTGGGCTATACTGGTGAAATCAAAACAACCAGCCAAACATCAAGTTGTGGGCTATACTGGTGAAATAAAAAAAAAGGGACAGCTAGGCTTTCTTCCTTCCATTGTTTTGGGAAACGTCAGATGACTGAGCAATAAAATCGGATTGTAGTTCTAAGCATTCCTATCAATTGCATGAAAACTCTTTAATATGCTTAACAGAAACAGGAATTAACGAAACGGCACCAAATTCATCAGTGGCATTAGATGAATTTAACCTTTTTTGTGGCAATAGAACAACAGACAGTGGCAAATCCAAAGGAGTGGATTGGACATATGTGTCAACAAAAATGACTGTAACATTAACAACATGACAGTGACACATGTGCTTTGTTCACCCCACACGGAAGTGACACATGTGGTTTGTTCACCCCACACGGAACTACTAGGAATCACTTTAAGGGCATACTATCAATCAAGAGAGTTCACCCAGATCGGTATTATCCTCATTTACATTCCACCTAGTGCTAACAAGGAGCAGGCTACTGATAGACAGAAATAATTCACGATTTTGAAACAAAACCCCAAACTTCACTCGTCTTGTTATGGGGGACTTCATTCACTCGTCACTGACTGAATCCATGCCCACATACACCCAGTATGTTACATGCCCCACCCATAAAAACTGAACTCTAGACATGTGTTATGGTAATATTAAAAAGGTCTGTACACTTATGATTTTGGCATACAATGTGGGATTTTGGGATATCTTTTTACGATTGTACACAGAGACCTGTCAGAACTACAATTTTAAGAGGCCAGGCCAAAAAATATTATGGAATTTTTCTGATTTAATTAAAAAAATTTTTTTCTTTCTTTTAACACCTGGCGAATGGACGATTGGTTGTAATTTTTGTGAATGTTGGGACCATCCTTAATTATATTATGTACAACTGAGAGGGGAGGTGGGGGTTGTTGATTTAAGAGATTTGGAGATGCGGCAACAGTAATATATTGCCTGGTTGCCTTAGCAAAAACTTTATTTGAACATCTGTCTTTGTCTGCTGCCATGCGTGTAAAGAAGTTTTGTTACATAACTAGGCCATTTCATTCATCTGAACCTCGGCAATTGCAAAAATGGAGAAAACTGGGGATGTTAATTTTTTATATTAGATGCATTTGAAACTGTTCTGCACAGAAACTTTAGGTTGTGGAGTATTTTGTAACATCTCATTAGCTGCATTTGAAACTGTTCTGCACAGAAACGTTAGGTTGTGGAGTATTTTGTAACATCTCATTAGCTGCATTTGAAATATATTTTTAGAACTTGCAAAGCAGCTCTATCCCCTTAACGATCTATCCTCGTACGATTTTAATGCTACAAGTTTAATATCGCCATACTCTTAGTCTAATAACTACAGCAAGATGTAAAGGGTTGGGGGCCCCACCCTTTCTAGCTTGCGGTAGTTATTAGACTATTATTATTGTTTTCGGAAAAAAATCATGTTCCTCTTAGATAGGGACGGCAAAATTTTTAACCCCCCCAATGAGGGTGGGAGAGGTTGGTCCCTGAACAAAATAATTATATCAGCAATGCGGAAAGACACAAGGTGGACTACAGTGTGTTGTTACTAAGGTCCTCATTAAGACTGATTGCAGTCCACTTACTTTTCCTCCCCTACGCCCCATTTTGCCTGTATTTAATCTCTCACCCACTTATGTTCTGTCACATTCCTCTTACTGTCCTCTCAGATATTATATTGCATTTAAGTGTTATTTATTATTTGATTTTTACTGTTGTTTGTATGCTAATGAAGGCTTCTAATATCACTCAAACTAAACATGCTACCCTAGAGGAACCATTTGAAAAAAAATGCTTTTTAAAACTAAAAAAAAATGGTGGATGGTATATCCCACCCACTTCTTCACAGATATTAAAATCAGCTCAATCAAGACAAATTCTTTCTCATAAAGTAAGGACCGAAATATATAAAAATTATTTTGTACCCAAGCCTTACAAATTTACCAGCTTGCTCCCCCAATGATTACCAAATCTAAATGATCACTTATTAAGTCATTATTGTCACGGAAGGAGTTCATTTATGGCTGATTTGTCAGCCTATTCTCAGCCAGAGAAATAGGTTAGGTGTATGTCTTGTGTTTAAACTGTTAAAATTGTAAAATTTTGTCTTGGTTTAAATATGCATTTATTTATATGCTGAAAGTGAATATTTACAATATAGTAAAAAAAACATTTCCATTTATTTTGATCAGTAAAGAATCTTATCATATCATGTAAAAGAATTATGGAATCACTCTTGCCCATATTAATAAAAGGGAAATTTCAAAAACAGTTAAATATTGCATTATATGAATGCTGGTTTGTCACTTGTCTACACCTGTTTGCTTTTGTGAAATTGGTGACATAATAATCATAGAAAATAAAAATGTTAAAATCAAGTACAAACGTACATGAAATCCACATGCAGGTTCGAGCGCTTTATGATTTTGAAGCTGCTGAAGATAATGAGTTGACATTCAAGGGGGGAGAACTAATCTGTGTCCTGGATGACAGGTAGGTGGATGAACATGTACTGAAATCATTTTTTTTTTTCAATTTATGGGAGATTTTTTAAAATTGTATTAAAATGTATTTCAGGTCAATTGGGTTTGAAAAAAATTATGGGCTTTCTGCTAAATTTTATTTGTTTTATTTTTGTTTAAAGTAGCAGCACGGGCAATTCATTTGAGGTTGAATTATATTTGAATGTGTGAAAGAAATTCTGTTCTGCCACCTGAATAAATTGTGATTACACTTCTAAATAAAATGTTCAACTTCATAATTTTTCTTGTTTTGTCTGTCAGTGATCCCAACTGGTGGAAAGGTTCCAATCACAGGGGAGAGGGTTTGTTTCCAGCCAATTTTGTAACTGCCGATCTAACTGCAGAGCCTGAACCAGATGGTCAGTTTGTCTCTTTACTTTCTTGGGTTGTTGTTTTGTTTTTTTTTACAAACCAGTTGTTTTTATTTACCAGGGCTTGTTTGTTTAAATTTTTTATTTTCCCAAATTTTTAAAATTAAGTGCTTGGTTACTGTGGGAAATATGAGCATATCTTTTGGCTTTGGAGTTACCCCTATCACTGGTTACTGTGGGAAATATGAGCATATCTTTTGCCATTGGAGTTACCCCTATCACTGGTTACTGTGGGAAATATGAGCATATCTTTTGCCATTGGAGTTACCCCTATCACTGGTTACTGTGGGAAATATGAGCATATCTTTTGGCTTTGGAGTTACCCCTATCACCGGTTACTGTGGGAAATATGAGCATATCTTTTGCCATTGGAGTTACCCCTATCACAGGTTACTGTGGGAAATATGAGCATATCTTTTGGCTTTGGAGTTACCCCTATCACTGGTTACTGTGGAAAATATGAGCATATCTTTTGCCTTTGGAGTTACCCCTATCACAGGTTACTGTGGGAAATATGAGCATATCTTTTGCCATTGGAGTTACCTCTATCACTGTAGGATAGTTAAAAAAAAAAAATTTAATTTGCCTTAAATACTGATTTTTACCCTACTGAAAATTATTTTATTTTCTAGTGTTATTATTTTTAATAGATTTAGTACCAAGATCCTAAAGGTAATAGTAAATTATTTACCTGATATGCAATAACATTATTATTATTATTTTATTCAGTTAAAGTAGAGAAGAAATCAGTACAGTTTAGTGACCAGGTAGAGGTCAAGACATTGTCCTTACCACCTGGAGAAGAGGAAATTGATGAGGTAAATTTTTTTGGAATGTTTTACTGTAAAGGTAGATGTTTTTACTGTTCAGAGGAAGATGTTGTTTTTTTAGATCAATATCGATCAAAATGCACAAAGAATTTTTTGTTCTAATTCAATATTAATGAAACAGTGCAGAGTTCACCTGGGATGTGCCCACCTCACTGTTCTTTTTTGTAAAACCATGTTGAGTTCACTTGGGGCATTTGCTCGTCAGACTGTTTTTTTGTAAAACCATGTTGAGTTCACTTGGGACATGTGCCCACCTCACTGTTCTTTTTTGTCAAACCATGTTGAGTTCACTTGGGGCATTTGCTCATCAGAATGTTTTTTTGTGAAACCATGGAGTTCACCTGGGGCATGTGCCCATCTGTTTTTTGTTGTTAGAATCTATCTCATTATCTCTGCATTCTGCAAAAACAATCAATATTCCTTTGACCATCCAGCTCTGACAATGATCAGCAATTAACAGAAAGATAACACAAAGTTTAACTTTTTATGTTTCCCCAGTCTAAAATAGATGAGGTCCTGACATTGATACAGAATGCTGACCCCACAGGGGACATTAACCCTGACAGTCAACACATGCTCATGTTGGAAGGTCAGTAAGAATTAAACATTAGAATAACACAGTTATGTCACTGAATGCACTGTGATTCAGGATATGTGTGATTGGATGTTCTAATCTGCAAAGTTTTTTTTTTACTACTGTATAGGACTTATCTTGGGGGGAGGTGTATTTAGTCTATAAGATAGATTATGTATTATCATTTCCAAAATGTTCATTTGACCACTGTCATTGTTTTGTCTTACAGCAAGCCATGTTTGTATGATGTTAATAACTTCCAGCAAGCCTTGTGTTTTTCTATCTCATCTAATATACATTTAAAGGTGACTCATGCCATACAGTGCTGGGCAGTAACAGGGTGACTTTGTTAAACAAGGTCTGTCTTGCATCATCACATGTCCATCACAATTCCTTGTTTTAAAGTTAGTAACTTAAACTAATTTTGGCTTTTCAGAACAATGCAAAGCTATGGGTCCGTTAATTGATGCGGAGCTGGAAAAAATTGACAGGTGAATTGTAGTAGCTGTTTATTCTCTAAAAGTGAAAGTTAATCTAAATATATTGAATTAGATCAAAGACAATGTTTGAAAATGTAGGCAAATATGATCTAACATTTGCTTATATTAATTTGTTATATCCAGAATTTTCACACAAAAGATACATTGTATATAATTATTTTCTGAGAAAAAAGTGGTTTTTATGGTCAAAATGCATTGCAAGAAAATAATAAGTATTCCAGAAAGTATGCACTCATTCTGCAGAGATGATTCATTCCAGGACATGTACATCTTTTCCAGGAAACATGCCACCCTAGTTGAGTTGAACAAAAAAGTAATGGATGCTCTGCAAATGTATCATAACTTGATGAAGGAGACCCCGGCCTATGGGTACTCTGGCCTAAAGACACAGGAGACCCCAGCCTACGGCTACTCAGGTCTTAAAACACCAGGCAACTATGTGCTTCCACCAGGTGTAGGTGGCGCCCCCAACATGGGGCCACCATTGCAGGTAAGGTGCATTCTTTGGAATTGTTGTCAAACTCACAACCCCACCATTGGACATCAGTATGCATGTCCACAGCTTTTTATAACAGACATCAGCATATCAAAGTACCTTTTTATAAGACATCAGCATATCAAAGCAGCTTTTTATAAGACATCAGCATATCAAAGCAGCTTTTTATAAGACATCAGCATATCAAAGCAGCTTTTTATAAGACATCAGCATATCAAAGTACCTTTTTATAAGACATCAGCATATCAAAGTACCTTTTTATAAGACATCAGCATATCAAAATACCTTTTTATAAGACATCAGCATATCAAAGCAGCTTTTTATAAGACATCAGCATATCAAAGCAGCTTTTTATAAGACATCAGCATATCAAAGCAGCTTTTTATAAGACATCAGCATATCAAAGCAGCTTTTTATAAGACATCAGCATATCAAAGTACCTTTTTATAAGACATCAGCATATCAAAGCAGCTTTTTATAAGACATCAGCATATCAAAGCAGCTTTTTATAAGACATCAGCATATCAAAGCAGCTTTATATAACAGACACCAACTATCAAAGTAGATTTATAAAGCAGACATCTGCGTATCATTAAAGTAGCTTTATATAGCAGACAAGCATATCAAAGTAGCTTTATATAACAGACAAAAGCATGTCAAAGTAACTTTCTATAACAGCATAACTCATCAGCATATCAAAGTAGCTCTATATAACAGACACCAGGTAGCTTAATATAACAGACATCAGCATATCAAAGTAGCTTTATATAACAGACAAAAGCATGTCAAAGTAACTTTCTATAACAGCATAACTCATCAGCATATCAAAGTAGCCTTATATAACAGACACCAGGTAGCTTAATATAACTGACATCAGCATATCAAAGTAGCTTTATATAAAAGACACCAGGTAGCTTAATATAACAGACATCAGGATATCAAAGGAGCACAAATGCACTTTAAATAGTGATCTCTGTTCAATATCTTCAAGTAGATATCCAGAAAATTAGAAGCATGATTAAGTTTTTAAAAATGAAAGTATTTTGAAAACAGATTCACTGAATAAGTTGATAATGAAAGGAGTGCAATGCAAAACTATTATGGCCAAGTTGTAGTTTTTGTTATTTTTTAAAGCGACTAACTCAAGCAAGGTAACTATGATAACTTGCATCATGACTAAGATCCACCTTCAATGTATGTTTAATGAATTGTTCACATTATCAGCAAATGACCAGCTGTCAGACTATATGACCAATGTGAATGCTGTTGAAAATATCTATGCTTTTAAATCCACTTGTGCCTTGGTTTTCAAGCATCAACAGTTTTGAATCATTAGTTTTGATGGGGGAGAAATATTTTGTTTCACTAATTCAATTTTTAAAGATTATTAATATTTATAGAGGGTAAGGTAAGGTAATTTCAGACTTTTATGTTTCAGAAAAAGTTTACAACCACACACTCTGCATTATGTCTCTTCTTCTTTTTTTAAAAAAATGTGCATAATAGTACAACAACCAGCCGCAATACATGTTACCTGGTGGAATGGGGGGCCCACCAAGTCAGGGCCCACCCAGCATGTCAATGGCAGGTGGCATGAGTGGGCCAATGCCATCACAAATCTATACACAGACTCAAATGGTTCCACCTAGTCAGCAAAGTTTCCATGGGTAAGTTTTCTTTTGTTTTTTAATGACAATTGATTTTCAAATAGCTCTGTGACAACTGATGTATAAATAGCATGGTTACAATTGATGTCTAAATTATACTGCGTTATCAATAATATCTTACCAAAAGTACTTTGAATGTCTAACCTTACAGAATAGGATGGTGGTGAAGGGGAGCACGGTTTCTTTGGGTTTTTTTTTGTGTTTTGAATTTTACATTTTTGGGTAATGTTTAAATGAAACAGCAAAATTTGATGAAGTTTAGCTAGCATTCACAATCAACGAGATGATATAATGCAAGGAAACCATGGCTTTGATGAAAGAATACAACCTGCGCCTTCATCTTCAAAGCAAACATCAGGAGAAATATGCACAGCCGGAGGGTAAAGTCCTTGCCAAAAAATGTTCTCAATTACAAAACCCACTCACATCTCAGAGGACATTGTTCAGTATATCCTCAAGTGAAAATGAATCCTCAACTAAGGCCAGTTATAAAGTTGCCTACATCCTGGCTAAAAGTGACAAACCGTTTACATATGGTGAAGTAGTGAAGGAATGTTTGTTAGTGGTGGCTGAGAAAATTTGCCCAGAAAAGTAAAAAATTTTTGAAAATGTAGCTTTGGGTGCAAATAACATAGCCCACCGTGTTGCAGACGTGAGTGAAAACATTGTGACTCAAATAGTGAAAAATGCAAGCAATTTGGCCATTTTTCAATTGCAATGGATGAATCGCTGTACAGCTGTTCCACCTCTCAACTGCTTGTGTTCATTAGAGGTGCGGATGGTGACATGAACATAACACAAGAGCTGGCTTCCCTACATAGCATGTATGGCACTGTTACCGGAGAGGATATATTCACTGAGTTGAAAAAAACATTTGCTGATTATAACATGGACTGGACTAACCTCAGTTGCCTGACTTTTGATGGAGGAAAGAACATGAGTGGCATAAAGAAAGGCTTGGTTGGACAAGTGAAGCAGATTTGTAATGAGAAAAACATTCTACAACCAATGTCCCCTCACTGTATTATTCACCAGCAAGCTTTGTGTTCTAAATATGTGGACATTAGCAGTGTACTGAATCCTGTGCTGAAGGTGGTGAATTTAATAAGGTCACATGGGCTCAACCATAGACAGTTCAGAGACCTGTTGAAAGATACAGACACAGAATCACAAGATTTACCATATTACATATTACCATATATAAGAAAGGAAATAGGTGACTTCCTGGAAAGTAAAGGCAAGCCACAGCCATTAGTGTCTGATGAAGAGTGGACATGGAAATTGGTCTTTGCTGCAGACATAACTAGTCCTTTAATTATTCTGAACCTAAAACTGCAAGGAGAGGAAAATCTAGTTTCTGATCTATACACCCACCTAAATGCCTCTGGGTCCAAACTCATCTTATTTTTGGAACAAGTACAGGCCAACAATTGATGCACTTTCAGCAGTCCTATGTCTTCATGGCTGAAGCTACAGCGGAGTTCCCCATGTCATTTGCATGCGAGATCATCAAAGACCTCCAGCGGCAGTTTCAGCAGTGGTTTTGTGACTTGTATTCAAAAGCAGAAGAAGTGAGACTGTTTCATAACCCATTTGACACAGATGTGGCCAGTTGCCCAGATGAACTGCAGCTGGAGGTCATTGAGTTGCAAGAAAATTACCTTCTTAGGGACAATTTCAAAGGACTGGTGGATTTTTACCAGTTTTGGCCCAAGGAAGACTTTCCTAATGTCAAAACTTTTGCATCAAATTAGCTTTCAATCTTTGGAACTACATACCTTTGTGAACAAAGATTTTCAAGAATAAAATACGTGAAGAACAATTTGAGAACAAACTTGTCCCATGATAATCTCATAATGTTAGGGACATCAAATCTAAAGCCAGAAATGTCTGCTATTTTGGCATCCAGGAAACAATTTCACCATTCCCACTAATATGTTTATGTGTCGTGTATCAATGTCTTTTTAAATAATAACTGAATAAAATAATATTAAATAAATACTTAAAAACAACATCCATGTTTTTATTCTTTTTTTTTTGGACCTCGGGTGTGTAGTCTGCCCCTGAACTGCTGTTTGATAGTTAATGCAGCCCTCGGGCTGAAAAGTTTGGAGACCCATGATTTAGGGCATAAATTTTCTTGACACTAATGTGTCATTATTTAGAGCATAAATAATCTTGAAACAAATGTGTCATTATTTCGAGCATAAATAATCTTTAAACGAATGTGTCATTATTTAGAGCATAAATAATCTTTTCAAAAGTGTTTATCTGGTTTTGTTTTTATAATGAAAATACCAGAAGAAATGATCCATCAATTGATGTTATAGTGACATCATTCACTCATTCTCTGACTCAGACAAAACTCCATCTCTAAAAGATGCTGCATCCAGAAATACTTGAGTAAAAATGGGGGATGTTTTTTTGGGATAAGGAAGGCTATTGGGGTTTCCAATAAATATATCTGATGTCAAAAGTCTCGGCCACGCTGCCTTGTAAAAATGAAGATTAAGAGGAAGTGAAAGCTCTTGGAATGAAAGCTTTGCTTCACTGTCTGAATAGACTTTGAACCACTGCGGCCTCGCCAGAGATTAGGTAGAGGGTGTTTAAACTGAGTTCATTGTTTCAAATTGCATTGATTCTTTTTTAAATCATGGACCAAAAAAAAAAAAGCTGACCAATATTTCTTGCTGATAACAATGAGTTTAAAAAAAACTATATTTAAAATTGACACTAACATTTCTAATGTCCACTTAACCTTTTGTATGTCCAACTAATATCTGTAATGTCCACTTAATCTTGTAAGGAAACCTTGCTTGCTCTCTGCTAATATACATCTATATCTGGTATTCACTAAGGAAGCAACTCAGGCGATAACACTTTGTTGGTTATGATCTTTTTCCTTTATTGGGTTGATACTTTCTTATACTTATACTTTCTCTCCATCTCACACTCTGACAGTCCTCTACTCCTACCGTCGGAGCTCTCCCTGACTGTCCGCTTCTCTGTCCGGCTGAGTTCTCCAGTCCTGTCCAGAGGTCCCTATTTATAAGTCCCAAGCCCATAGAGTTTCTTTCCCAGGTCTGTAATCTGACGCGACCGCCCCTTTGATCAGTCGGTCGCTACCCCCACCCCTGTTGCATCAAGGTCCGAACCAGTCGTCCCAGGGAAATACCCTGGTCAGATGGCCGGTAACCCTGCTGTGAGATCTGACGCGCCCGGCCCTTTGATCAGTCGGTCGAGGTCCGAACTCTCCACAATATTTATAATGTCCACTTAATACTTTGTATGTCCAACTATCTGTAATGTCCACTTAATATTTATAATGTCCACTTAATATTTTGTATGTCCAACTATTATCTGTAATGTCCACTTAATATTTATAATTCCCACTTAATATTTATATAAAGTCTACTTAATATTTTGTATGTCCACTTAATATTTATAATGTCCACTTAATTTTTTATATTGTTCACTTAATATTTTGTATGTCCAACTAATATCTATAATGTCCACTTTGCAGGCATTCCAATGTTGTGTCCTTGTCTGGTTATTCAACTCACCCATCTTCTGGAGCAGTCCCAAACCTGGCAGCTGTTAATGGAGGTCACTCATCTGTCCCACCTCAACAGCAGATTTATTCAGGTGGCCAAGCCTACACACAAGGACCTCCCTCTGGCATGTACCACCCACCCCCACCCCAGCAGCCCTTACTGTAATATATTTGTTTTGTTTTGATAGCCTATAAAAACTGAGTCAGGCATTTGAATATAGCCAAGTGGCATCTTCTCTCCCCCTCCCCCCAACTTTCTGACTATGATTATGCAGGTTCCACTTCTCATCCACTGTCTTTTGCTTTAATGCAATCTTGTTCGTTCTTTCTGTGTCACCATCTGACATCAGTGAAGGCATTGTTAAAAAAAAATTTGTCGTTTTTCATGACATTTTGAGATGGCGTTATTTTTTTCATACTGAACCCATGTGGTCACCCATTGCACCATTTTGTATTATGTCCACTGCACGAGTACTTATGTTGTTTTCATCTGTCATTGACATTCTGTCATCGGTTGTAATGGAGTAACCTTATATCACTGATCAATATATGGCTGTGCAATAAATAATTTGCATTCAAAGGTCTAGGGACCAAGGTGTGTGTGTGAAATCTGCATGAATGTTTTTCTTTCTTATTGGTCACGGTGGGGCTGGCTTGAAGGTGGGGTCGTCTTGAGGGTGGGGCCAGCTTGAGGGTGGGGCTGGCTTGAGGGTGGGACTAGTTTGAGTCTACCTACTTCATCTACCTACTTTTGAATCTAATTTAAAAAAAAAAATTGTAAATTGGTAGTCTTGGTTAAAAAACTATATTGTTGTAGGGAACTAATGTTGTAGAATCAAGTCAATATTCAATAGATTGATATTGATAAATCTTTGAGCTCATTTGAAGCTGAAACCATGAATAGAGAGTCAAAAATGTCTTAAAGTTTCACTATGTCTTTATTTTGTGTGAGTGGGAAGTATGTCTCTTTCAGTCTACTCAAAAATGTTAAGTCACAACATGAAAAGCCTTTAAATGAATATCCTAAGTATAAAGAAACTGTTCACTATAGTTTTTAAAAATACACAAGCTTCTCGTGTACAAATAATAAAAAAATGTATTACTGCTATAAACTTTTGTATTTGTTTTAAATAATTTAGTCTGTCTGTTAAACTCGGGTCATTCTATGGTGCAGACATGTAATAAATCAGTTCTAAACAGGCCAGAAATGACAACATGTCCTTTGGGGCCTTGTGCTGGCCATTGGTGGGTAGCAGCCTTGTGCCGGCCGTTGGTGAGTAGCAGCCTCTTACAGATGGGGGGAACTATTAATTTATAGACCGAGAAGCCATGAATGAACAACTTTGACTAAACTTACTTTTATGTACATGACTACATCCAAGTTTATAATCTGTTCAAAGGCAAGTTCTCAATATAACAGGAAGTGTGATTATCATACTTGATTATTTTTTAAAATTTTCAATCCTTTTTGTTAGACAATTTAATAATGAAGTATAACCAACATAGAAGGGAAATAGAATGGGTTCTATGAGATTCATTTGATTCTGATCTCTTTCAATCTTTTTTTTTTTAAATAGTGCTAATCAGATTTTTCAATAAATTATAAAACCCTTATCTTAAAATATATATATATATAAATATATATCAGTGTGTATATTTGTTACAGCCGAGTCAGAATTTTTTGTAGAAAAGACATGTATACATTTTGGATACCTGGGATTGAAATAGTGAAAATGCAGAAATTCAGGCATATTCATCATCATGATATGTTTGCATTCAATCATAGTGAGATTACATACATGATATGTTTGCAGTCAATCATAGTGAGATTACATACATGATATGTTTTCATTTAATCATAGAGAGATTTTTCCAGGTTGTCTCAGTGGTCAGATATATTAATGATGCGATGGACTGATTTATCATTGTTTAATTGGACGGACTAATCAGTGATAATTAGGACTACCAAATCCATGATAAATAGGACTGACTTATCCATGATAAAAAGGACTGGCTACTCGGTGATAATTTGGACTAACTAATCCATGATAAATAGGACTGACTTATCAGTGATGATTGGGACTACCTAATCCATGATAAATAGCACTGGGTTATCAATGATTAGGTAGAATGAGTTATGAATTTTGAGTTTTTAACAATGATCAAAACAAAAATAAAGCATTTAGTTGTTGAAAGAAACGATGGCCAAGATCTTGTGACGTGTTGAGGACCACTAATTAATGGAGCTTATTGTCATTTATTATTTTTTTCAAATAGATTTCTTAATTGACCCAACTTCATCTGTTTAGATAGATAAACCCCCCCCCCCCCCCCCCCCCCNAAATAGATTTCTTAATTGACCCAACTTCATCTGTTTAGATAGATAAACCCCCCCCCCCCCCCGTTTTGGATGGGTAATCCTGAAAAATGTATATCCCCCGCATAAGCTGACCCCACAAAATAATGTGTCAGTGATACTAAGGCCAGATTCATGTACATTGTAATTGTCTATTATTTGCTTATCATTATGTTTGGGGAAAAGTAGGGATCTTCTTCAGGTAGCTTTATTTTATTACTATTTATGGCTTTTGGTAACATTCTACTGTTATTGAGCATAAGGGAGGCTATAACATCTGCACTCTACAAAAACAAATTTCATTATTCAGTGTATCTGGAGAAAATTATAAAAATCTCTTATGACAAGCTCATTAGACAATCACCCCTCTTATTCCCCTGAAATATCCCCCCCCCCCCCAAAAAAAAAAAAAAGGCTTTAGAAGGCTTTTTGCTCATGGTTATTTGAATGAGACACCAGCATGATGCGACTTGCCCACTACAATTAACATTGCACATCACTGTCTATGCCAACAGCTAGTCCCTATCAACAAAAGCTGGGAAAAACTGACATTTTTATGCTATATGTCATTAATTTTTTTAATGGATCATATCATTTTAAAAAGTTATTACACTTAGAGGGCTTTTTTTCTTCTTCATTTGGATCTTAACATGTTAAACCCTCATTGTCTGAATGATGGTAAAGTTGAAGAGGCATCAGCATGGGGCTGACCCACTCCTACCCCAAGGGTAATTTCAAATTCATTCTGATGATATTCAAACCATCAACAGTAGTTGTGAGGTCAGAACCGGCTGTGTAAATACTGGATGTAATTGTATAATGACATGAACACTTGTACATAAAATTTGGACTGGGTGTACAAAAAACAACATAGAAAATGTGTACATTGGCAGTTGGCATAATTGGTTCTCCACAATGGAAGATTCAAAGGGTCAGCAGAGAATGAACAGAGCTACACACCTAAATGGATTGTCTGTAGATATCCATCACTTTAGGTTGTAGCACTTTCATGTTGCTCCCCTCAGCGACCATTGGGTAATTCAATTGTTGTATCTGGCGTTGGTTCATTCCACCAATACGGTTTTCCCTCCATTTGAGCAGTTTCCCTTGAGCATTATCCCTTGTGCAGTTCAGAGGAATAATACTTTGGATTACTCCTGCATTTTTAAAAAAATAAATGCTCTGGCATAAATATTATACAGCCTGAAATTTCCATTGTACAATTTATCACCCACCGCTTCCCCTCCCCTTTTAGCTCAAATTGAGGGACATCTGTACTGTATTACTATTAATTATCATTATTAATTAGAATCCATGTACATGATTAAGCATTGAAGTTTCTCTGAGAGAAAATGCACATTTTGAAGAAAAATACATTATTATTATTGTTATTATTTTATAATACATGTCTGGAATGAAAGCAAAAATTGATTAAAAAAAATACTGCAGTAATATGTAACTTGATTGTCCTAAAGATATTTTCATCTTTTGTTTATATTAATAATATTAAGTTTTACATGTCTTTATGATATGCCTTTGAATGATGTCGTCAAGAAGTAGACGCACGTCAGCTATTGAGAAAAGTCTTTTTCAGTTCAATTTGGTTGAAGTTTCATAAAGTGCATGTATGACAATTTAGTAAGCAGCTCATAGTACCAATACCAAGGACTATATGTATATACGCTCTCTGTTTGTTGTATGTACAAATAATTATGAACCATAAATTTGTATTTTAAAACAATGTTTTAAATAGGAAAAATGACAACAGTTGTGTGTTGAAATAAAAATATGAACAAAACTTTTTTAAATAGAAATATTAATAATTTATGAGTTGAGAACTCTGAGGGATTATTGAATTGTATGTATGAGTTATGGTAAATGTGGTGTACATTGATTTCTGTTGCCGCTTTCCTCAATTTTAACAGTTCAGCCGAGTTGGCAAATAAACAACATTGTTCAACATTGAATGGTGCCATTCTAATGGAAAAGGTTGCTAATTCTCCAAGTAAAGAATTAATTCCTTTGAATAGATTACAGAACATTTTAAAACAGTTTTCCTTTAACTAAAATCCAAAATAAGTCCAGAGGTTTTACTGACAAGAATTTTCTACCATGCCATTTATTTGACCAGCAAATGAACGTTCTTTTTTTGATACAAAGGTGCAAGAATATTGGTAATGCTATTTCAGTTATAATGAGGATGGTCCTGGTTGATGAGTTATGTTTATGGCAGGGCTGCTCATTATTTGTCTATGTAGATTTGGCAACCACCCAAACAAAAGAGACGATAATTGGAAAAATAAATAAGCTGTCAAAGGTTTGAAATCTGATAGCATCAGCACATCTGCATGTTTAAATTTGGGGCTAACGAAGACATAATCTCAATATTTCTGAAGCCTTAAGTAAAATATGACTGTAGTTTTGCCTTTGATGACATGCTTTTCAGGACTGTACTGGTGTGTAATTTTTTGACAAGGCGGTTGCTACTGGCTGTTAAAAAATTATTTACACTACCGAGGTAACATTTCATCACAGAAATTATTTTTTTCCACCTTTATCAACATAATTATTTTATAAATATTCCTTCCCCACACAACCCCATCGAAATTAATATTAACATCACCCCTTTAATTTGAAGTTTAAATACAGGCGGATTTACCACTAAATTCTGTCCCTGGCGTATAGTTGTATAGAACCCTCTGCACCTGTATATCTTCAAAAACTGATTTCTAAACATGTATTCATACATAGGGTTGCCAGATACGTGGACACCAAAAGGAGGACATGATAAAAAAAAAAGGAGGACATTTTGAATTTTTCATTTGAGTCGTCCCGGATTAAACTCACAGTCAGCACAATTTTATTGTTATAGCTGCCAATTAAGTGTATCTTACTTTTACTAACTTTTAGTGAATCGAACAAGAAACAGTCACGTTAAAAAAACAAATTCAATGGAGGCCTTTTTAAAATGTCAAAAAACATCATTTAAATAGTCAATTGTACAATCATTGCCTTATAATCTTTATTAATTCCATGACATATTTCTCGGAGGGGCCAACTTTTCGCAGAAGATCCTCGTTGGCAATCACATATGCAAAAAAAAACTGTTCACAGGTAAGATTCTTCAAATTGTACTTTGTAAGAATGAAAGAATGATGCCCTTTACAGAGTCGAGTAAGAGTCTATGCCTTTCCTTTGTCCATTGAGCATTAATCAAGGGAGAACACACTTCCCACATTGCCATTGTGTCCAGGGATACAGAAGAAAAATTCACAAATTTCAAGTAACGCTGAAAAGCAACATTCATTTGGTCAACTTTGAAAAAATAAACTCCACTGTTCATGCAAGAGTCTTTCAAAAAACTGTTCATTTTTGTCTTGTACAAATGATTTAAGATTGCAGTAATGGTAAAACAATTGCACATCATCTACAATAATACCCTTCTCTTTCAGATACAATATGCATGCCAAAAAGGTCATAAAATTTACAGTCTTTGGTTTTATCTAAGTACATCCAATTAAAGCATTTAAATTCATCAAAAGGTTTCAACCACTTCTCTAAGTAACTAATGCATGCTTCATACACCAACTTAACATCTGCCATAAAAATATTATACTCTTCTTCTCGACCACTTTCCTAGAATGTTAGAATGACTCAAATCGGCTGGTTCACAGAGATGCATAGACTTTGTACATTGTAACAACGTAAACATACGATGTAATAGTTGTAACAACGATACATAAAAATTATAATATAAAATGTAAGAAAAGCCGGACATTTCACAAGGTTTTAGCTTTGCCTGCCGGACGGAGGACAATGAGCTGAAAAGGAGGACAAGCCTAGCCATACAGAACTACAGAACATGAGCTCTTCAACACAGTCCCTGCTGAGATTGTGTTATACCATGCCGATGGGTTGTGTTTTTTAAAATTGTTATACTACTTTAGGGCTAAACTACTTCATGAATACGTCAATGAATTTTCACACACACAAATAACAAAGTAAAAATTATTTAAATTTTCACCCCCCCCCCCTCCCCACCAACCAAAAGACTGCTTACATAGTTTTACATGTTGAACGAAAATGAAAAACAAAAACCACCTATGTTTATTTCTAAGTTTTATAAAATTGTTATACTACTTTAGGGCTAAACTACTTCATGAATACGTCAATGAATTTTCACACACACAAATAACAAAGTAAAAATTATTTAAATTTTCACCCCCCCCCTCCCCACCAACCAAAAGACTGCTTACATAGTTTTACATGTTGAACGAAAATGAAAAACAAAAACCACCTATGTTTATTTCTAAGTTTTACCAGAGTCAAAGAGAAAAAAAAATACTGATAGAAAGGTCTATACATTTTTCAGTTTTGAAAACTCGTACATGAACAGCATAATTGAGTTAAGAAGACATGAGATGTTTGCAAATGACATAATGTATTTCTCATGAGTGATTTTATCTGAAGGAAATCGTATAAAAATAAAGTATTAATATCCAAACATTCAATTGATTGAAATTTTTATTAGGAATTTCCAGCTCCCATACTATAACTTTCTTCAGATATTAAATTAATCAAAACGCTATTTTTTTTTTATTTCTACCAGAACTGGATTCTTATATAAAAAATAAACGTAAAAATGCGTGCAAATATGTCTGGAGGATTGTTAATTGTTAATGATTCTGATACAAAAAATCCCTACCAGTTATCCTAACTGTCCCTACCTAAGTCCCCACGATCTCTACAAGTAGTCCTCACTATCCCTACCAGTAGTCCTCACTATCCCTACCAGTAATCCTCACTATCCCTACCAGTAGTCCTCACTATCCCTACCAGTAATCCTCACTATCCCTACAAGTAGTCCTCACGATCTCTACAAGTAGTCCTCACTATCTCTACCAGTTGTCCTCACTATCCCTACCAGTAGTCCTCACTATTCCTACCAGTAGTCCTCACTATCTCTAC